GTTTACTTGAAAAATTGACAGTGTAGAATGATTGTACTATAGGATTATATATTAGTGCCTAACCCTTCCCCAGAGCCTTGGAGTTCACTGTAATGTTCATTAATGGGATTTGTGACGAGTTTGAGAAGGGAACGGGATCGGAGAGGCTTGACCACCTGGCAACAGAAGCTTACAATGTCACCCTGAAAAAGTACCACAAGTGGATTGTCCAGAATATCTTCAAGGTAGGACTCAAAGATTCAGTAATTTTTCGTGTTTTTTTTAATTCCAGTATATTTTGTTGGAATCTTGATGACTTTCCTTCCTCTTGTTCTTCAATAGTATTTATAGTAGTTATTCAATAGTATTATGAAAAAGTAACTTTTTCCGATTTCCAAATACTTGTTTTGTAAAGAATATTTTTAATGCAATATGCTTGACCTTTTTTTTTCTCTCTTTCTCTTTCTCTCTCTTTGTTTATTTGCAGTACAAGAGACAGAAAGAAACAGGGGTGCACATTCAAGTTCTTTTTGGGGGGATAAAAGAATAGTATACTCTGACCATGAAGAGCCATATTTTGTGGACCAACTAATTGCATAACAAATTTATGTGATCTTTTTAACCTTAAGGACCAAAAGAGCTTGTACTCAACAGAATAAACTTTTTAATATCTTGAACATAAACAATAACAACATGCGGCATCAGATGTTTAAATTTCAGAAGGAAGGGATTGTTGCTTACACCCATGAACATAGTGCATCACACTCAAACTTTTAAACTGAATTTACATGATTTTTTTCAAACTTAAATTTAAAAAAATATTTTCACTTAGATCAATAAACTTTCCACCATATGGACTGATATATTCCAAGTTTTTTTTGTTTAAGATGTGTATTGGTTGCTAATCAAAACAGCATGAGCAATGTGACATGGACTGACTTTTCTCTAGCTGTAAAATTTCTTGGACTGAAAATTTTTTTAGAGGTTGTCAGACCCTCCCCCCTAATGTGCGCCCCTGGAGAGAAATATAGAGGGACACTTTTACTTTTTAGAGCTTATTTGAGGTTCACATTACATAAACATTTTCCAATTTTTATGATGTGATGTTTTTCTAAATTCAATATTAACCACTGAGCTTCATTTTCAATTACAGATGCTCCTTTGAAGTTTCTAGGAATAGAATATGATGTGTTGGTTTTATTGACCATATTGTGGTGTAGGGAAGTTATTCACTGTTTATATGTTGTTGTTTTTAAGACGTTAAGCCAATGGATCTTGTTTTCCCCATGTGGTCAGTATATGGGCATTAGGCTTACTGGAGTGGTGACTCTCCCATATGTGTGGCTTACAGGCCTCCCATATGTGTGCAGTGTCAAGACTTCTTACCTCCTCTTTGCATTGTTAAAATCTCTTTTTCTGTGTAAGTGTTTTTTGCTATATCAAGAAGGTAATAGTCTGTTTTCTTTGCACAAATGCCATATCAGACCTCTAGGTAGGCAACAACTCTGTGCAGTGATAATAACAATAAGAAACATTTTAATTTTTTAAATAGATTTATATTCATTTTCTGTAATACACCTTGTGCCACTGGTCACAGCGGGCAGGAAAAGATTGTGAGCATGGAAATAGTGTCCAGTGCTTTTCCAGCCTTAACTCATGATGGTACATTCCACCCTCATTTACTAGTAGAAATAATGCAAGAGCCTCTTTTGAAATGCATACTAAAGCTAATCTTCCTCCAAGTGCTTTCTGAATTAGCGACAATTTATTCTCATTACCATGGCTATGCACTAAATCTTTCATGACAGTGAATTCCCATCACCCTGGATCCAGATACTCAAAAAAATCCATAAAGTTAAGGCGCACTGGAGGCATTAACTGCCCTGCTGCAAACTAAGTCAAGGCCTGGCGGAGGCACCAATTCTCGGACTTGGCTTCAAATTCACAAACATACTTTCTAGTAACATATCCCTCCCCACCTTAAGACATTGCAACACCATCAGTCACTCATAAACCATAAATACTGATCAGTTAAGTTGTTTGTAAGTGCCTCACTGTGCTGAGGTGAGCATGTCGTCGTGGGAAATTTTGGCTGTGGGCCAGGGTGCCGTGAACTTGCTGTCATAAGCATTTTAGCTGAAAGCTAAGGTGACAGGGAAGACTCACCCGAGGTGCACAAAGCTTTTGGTGGGTGATTAGACTCATCAGGCATTTAAGAAGGGGCTTTTGCACTATTTCCATTGATAAACAAGTGTGGAGGATGTTATTTCCATGCTCAAGATCATATTCCTGCATTCCAGGACCAGCAGTGCAGATTGGATTACAGAAAATTGAATATTATGAAAAAAGAAAAAAAAAATACAAATCACTAAATATTCCTTATTAATATCATTATTGCAATGAGTGATAGACTACCTAGAGAAATGATATGGAGTCTGTGTAGGGAGAACAGTCTGTTACCATTGGGATAAAGCAAATTAAATGACTGATATAGACATTGGAAAATGGCAAAAAAGGTAATAAAAAGAAAAATTAACATTGCCAAGGGAAGTCGTCTTGTCATGACTCACTTGTGTTCGTGTGGGCCTGGCCTTTAAACCATATACCCATCAGAGTGTCCACTCACATAAGTCCCATCACCCGATGCTCAGCCAAATTTGTTTGTATGACATTGTCATTATGATCCAATAGGTTAAGCATAGGAAAAATGTCATGGTAATTTAAGACTTTTCCCATCTGCTGTGGAACAGATAAAGGCCCCTTTTTTGCTAGCTTGAAAAGAGGTGGTTACTCATACAATCCTAGAGATCAGACTGTAATATAACCAGTTACTATTTCAACAGTATTCTTAGGGTATTTCCTTTATATTAGTAAGGTCATTTTACTTTGATGGATGTGTTGAAATTTTATGGAATTTGTTAAGCATATATTGTCCCAATCCTATTAAATATCCCTTTTCTCCTGAATTTCAGATGGTGGTTAAGTCAGTCCCCACTAGATCAGTGCTGGTCAAAGCCCTGTACTTTGGTAAATCGGGTCCAGAAGAAACGCTGTTCAAAGACTGCCGAGTTTACATGAAACAGCTAGAGACCAATCTCAGAGTGATAGTACAAATGTATGATGAATGGGGCCTTAACAATGATAACAAAGTATAAGAGTCTGGTGCAGTGGCAGAGTATTTTGTTTTTTATATAGCTATGTATATATGAAAATCTCACCTTACTGTTCATCTCTTACGTTAATTTTGGATTTTTTCTTCTTAAACTTTAGTTCGGACTGCTTAGAAAATTAGCAAAACCTGTAGCAGATTAGCATTGTTATTTTTTATTGATATTGTTATTATCATTATTATTATCATAATTCATATTGTTTTTATTGTTGTTATTGTATGTATTAATATTGTTATTATCATTATTATAGTTATTATTATTTGTATTATTTTTTATTATTATTATAATTATTATTATTATTATCCTTATTTGCTATTAGCTTTCTTTTACTTTTTATTATGCTATAGAAGAGAACCTTATTTAACACAAAAAATATATAGATTTAGTAAAAGGTGTATATATGATATATATGAACTACTCTAACATTTATAGTAACAGAGAAACCACTAGTACTATCATGTTTATAGAGCACATACATTCAAGATACCAAGCATGTTGTTGTGAAGCACCACAGAAACTATTAATGTGTGCAGAAAAATCCATGTTTAAGGGGACACATGATTTATATATATATATAACAGAAAATTGTGCATATCATGTATTAGGACGACATGTAGAAGGTTGAACCATTTAGAACCATATGGCAACTGCCCAGTGGTTAGTAACAAGTGTGCACATGCTTGGGTATATGCATCAAAAGGTGCGCAAGACACCAGGTCTCGTGGAAAACCTGTCGCAGTGGCATTTACAGATTGTACCTTGAGGAAATCTTGTCTCTGCAGCAAGATTCATATACATCTGTAATGTGAACATGGGACCAACAGTTGTTATTTGTGTGTGGAGTTTAAGCAAGCCAGCCGTTCAAGATGTGCTCACATTTTTGAAGTAGCGGTTGTGAGTTCAAGGAGATTTAATTTTTATTTATTTACTTAATCAATTTCAAATCTTGAAGCAGGTTGTACCATACCTGAAAGTTAACTAGCCTCTTTACAAAACAAATATTTGGAAATCGGGAAAAGATTTACTTTTTATGAGTCAACAAGGTGTAATGTTGGATGTCATTGTGAATTTTGTAATCGCATTGTATTCTTGCACAACATTGATATTCCAATGAAGAAAGGGGATGTATTTATGTTGATAATGTTGTCATGTCTATGTACAGCACATGGGCTGTTGAACACCAACCAAGAAATGGTCTAGCTGTAAATAAATGCTTCTGGTTTTGTATTTTCCTCGTGCTGGGAGAAAGCACAAGAAAACAGAGAGTACAGGAGATTCACAGCCAAATATTGTAACGAAAGCATTTACGGTTACATTTACCCAGCTTAGCATTTGTTGTAGCAGCAGTTCTCTCGACCAGATTTCTTTTGAATGTATTTTATGGATTTACTGAAGGGCCATTGGCATGTGGTCATTTTTTATACAAATTTTTAAATAAAGGAATAGGATTGTTTTGTGGGATGTTGTTTGTTGGAGGTGTGTAATATTTGTGAGAGTGATTTTATTACTTTTTACGTCCTCGATTTTGTCTCTGCATCACTTTCTAACTCTTTGTTCATGATTTTAGCTCATTTTTTGTTTTTTTCATTCTTTTCTCTTGTTCCTTTCTCTTCTCTTTTCCCCTCTTTCTTTTTTGTCTCATTTGCTTGTATTATTTTTTTCATTTATTATTATTATTATTATTATTCTCTCTCTTATTCTCTCTCTCTCTCTCTTATTCTCTCTTTCTCTCTCTCTCTCTCTCCTCTCTCTCTCTCTTATCTCTCTCTCTTCTCTCTTATCTCTCTCTCTCTCTCTCTCTCTCTCTCTCTCTCTATCTCTCTCTCTCTCTCTCTCTCTTATTCTCTCTCTCTCTCTCTTATTCTCTCTCTCTCTCTTATTCTCTCTCCTCTCTCTTCTTATTCTCTCTCTCTCTCTCTTATCTCTCTCTCTCTCTCTTATTCTCTCTCTCTCTCTCTTATTCTCTCTCTCTCTCTCTCTCTCTCTCTCTCTCTCTCTCTCTCTCTCTCTCTCTCTCTCTCTCTCTCTCTCTCTCTCTCTCTCTCTCTCTCTCTCTCTCTCTCTCTCTCTCTCTCTCTCTCTCTCTCTCTCTCTCTCTCTCTCTCTCTCTCTCTCTTCTTCTCTCTCTCTATTCTTTCTCTCTTTCGCTCCTCTCTCTCTCTCTTCTCTTCTCTCTCTCTTCTTTCGCTCTCTCTTTCGCTCTCTCTCTCTCTCTTCGCTCTCTCTCTCTCTCTTTCGCTTCTCTCTTCTCTCTCTCTCTTTCGCTCTCTCTCTCTCTCTTTCCTCTCTCTCTCTCTCTCTTTCTCTCTCTCTCTCTCTTTCTTCTCTCTCTCCTCTCTCTCTCTCTCTCTCTCTCTCTCTCTCTCTCTCTCTCTCTCTCTCTCTCTCTCTCTCTCTCTCTCTCTCTCTCTCTCTCTCTCTCTCTCTCTCTCTTCTCTCTCACTCTCACTCTCACTCTCACTCACTCTTTCACTCTTACTCTCTCTCACTCTCTCTCTCTCTCACTCTTACTCTCTCTCACTCTAACTCTCTCTCACTCTTACTCTCTCTCACTCTCTCTCTCTCACTCTTACTTTCTTTCTTTTTGTAAGAACAACTAGTCACTGTACCAAGTGCAATTCCTGAGATGTGATCCACATGTTTCCTCTTTAGATGCTTACTTGATAGTGTTAATAATCAATAGTGGCAGCAGTGGTTATTATAGTTTTTTTCAGGGAAGTTATAGTGCATGGCAATTGATTTTTTTTACCATGTTTTAATAGTGTGTTTATTTTCATGTGATTTCTTCTGCCTTTATTTGCTTTCTTTTCTTCTTTTTCTGATTCCTCTCCTCATTGTTATTATATTCTTTTTTGTTTCTTTTTTTTTTTTTTGTTATCATTATTCCTCCTTCGTCTTTTCTATCTCCTCCATTCTTCCATCTCCATATCCTCCTCTTTCTCTTACTCCTTTTCCTTTTCTACCTGTTCCTCCTCCTCATCCTCTTCTTCCTCCTTTTCCTTCCTTCCTCTTCATCTTACTCCCCTCTCTTCTTCCTCCATCTCCTCTTCCTCTTCCTCTTTTACTGCCTCCTCCTCTCTTCTACTTCCTCCTCCTCCTCTCTTTCCTCACATGCCCTCCCATCTCCTCCCTTCCCTTCTCCCTCCTCTCTCCTCCTCCCTCCCCTCCCCCTCCCTCCCTCCCCTCCCCTCCCTCACCTCCTCCCCTCCCCTCCCCCCTCCTTCTCCTCCTCCCTCCTCTCCTCCTCCTCCTCCTCCTCCTCCCCCTTGTTTGTTTTGTGTGTGTGTGTTTGTTTGTTTGTGTGTGTGTGTGTGTGTGTGTGTGTGGTTGTGTGTGTGTTGTGTGTGTGTGTGTGTGTGTGTGTTTTTAGTCTGTCTTTCTTTCTTCTTTCTTATTGTCTGCCTGCCTGCCTGGGTCTCTCTGTGCATTTATTACATTTCAAATAAATTTCACTTCTTTTTACTCTTTACGTGGTTGGTTACCAATGCTACCATGATTTGTTGTAGTCCATCTTGTCCTAATCTGAGCTCTCTTGCAAAAGCCTCACCTAGTGTGATATATAAAAAACATTTCGACCAACAATTTATGGCCCTTTTCTAGTGTACATTTCCAAAAATATTCAATAACTCTTTCACAAGATCTGTTTTGTTTTATTTCTTAATAAGTCAACCTATAGTCATAATTGACTTTTTTTTAATGCAGAAAAGGAATTACACTATCATTACACTCTGTGGGGACTGAAGGCAAAGCTTGTGCAGTACCGTTATAAAAGTGGTTCTGTTAGGGCAAGACAAATGTTTTATAGTGGATGATATTATTAGATAGCATGCTTACGTCCTGTATTTTTTTTTTTTTTATTTGTTTCATTTTATTTTTTTCTAATTGATTAGTTTATTTTTTATCATGTTATTTTTACTATTGCCATTAAGTAATGTTTGTTTTGCCTTTATTAGTGAATTTGGTATCTGGAACTTTTGTGGTTTGATGCTGCATTTGATTATTATTATTTAATATTATTATTATATATTATTATTATATTATTATTATATATTTACTATTACCATTATAATTATTATCATCATCATTATCATCATCATTATTGTCATTGTCATCATCATCATCATCATCATCATATATCATCATCATCATCATTATCATTATTGTTATATATTTTTTATTATCATCATTTATGTTATTATTATTAGATATCATAAGTGACCTTAAAATGACATGTATAGTACATATATTATTGATCAAGTACAGTTGTAAATTGAAATAGAAATTTATTGTAGATTAGCACAGTAGACTGTTTTACAAAACTTTTTTTTTGTAGTTCATGAATTTTATTTCATTCCTAATATGAGAGACTTATTAAGTGTTTTAATGTGTATAGATTTGTGTGTGTTTGTCCTTTGGCAGTAGTAAGATTGCGTTTTCGAGATCCACATTCTTTTTTTTTCTTTTTTTCTTTGCTTTTGTCTTTCTTATGCTGTTTTTATTTTTTCTTTTCTTTTCTTTTCATTCTTTTTCTTTCTTTCTTTCAATCTATTTGTATTTATTTCTTTTATTTTTTACTTTTCTTTATTTTTTCTTTTCTTTTCTTTTCTTTCTTTTCTGTTCATTACTTTACTGTTTCTTTTTTCTTATTCTTGCTTTTCTTTGTCTTTCTTTTTTATTCTTTTCTTTTTTCTTTCTCTTTTTTCTTTTTTCTTCTTTCTGTTCTGTTGTGTTTTTCTATTTCTTTTCCTTTTCTTGTTTTCTTTTTTATTTTTTTCTGTACTTTTCTATTTAATTTCATTCTTATCTATTATTTTCTTTTTCTTTTCTTTTCTTGTCTTTTCTTTATTATTTTCTTTATTTATTTTTTCTTTTTCTTTTTGGTTTTTGTTTTACAATGGCTGGAAGTTAAAGTTTTCTACATATGGATTAAAGTGTGGAAGCTGTCTTTGATTTTGGGAATGAAAAGAAAGATTTAAATTTACTTGTTTATATGAATCTGAGTTGTAGGTTTTCATCTAAAGCATTGTACAAATGTGGAAGTTTCCTGTGTACAAATTGGAAAGACATGGATTGGAAATTATGTTTTCTTTTTTTTTTTTTTTTTTTTGCATGTGTGTTTGTGTCTGTCAGTCTGTTTGTCTGTCATCGTTCCACATATGGGCATTTCCTCAGAGAGTACATGAAAGTTGGGTTTTCGATTTTTTTTCTGA